TGACCAAAGGTGCGGTCAAAAAGAAAGGTCTTCAGCAGAAACCTGAAAATAGGAAGAGAGGGAGTGAGGGGAAGGGAGTGAGGAAGGGAATTCCAGAGCCTCGGGGCTGAAGGCACGGCCGCCGAGGGTGGAGTGGAGGACTCGGGGGACGAGGAGGAGGCCAGACCCGGAGGAACGAAGGGCAATGGGCACTGTTATGAGGAGAGAGGAGGTCAGAGAGGTCGGGGGGTGCAGAGGAGTGGAGGGACTTGAATACAAGGGAGAGGATCTTGAAGTGGATCCTCTCTGGGACAGGAGCCAGTGCAGTCTGGCCAGGACTGGGGGGATCGGGGAGCGGAGTTTGGTGCGGGTGAGAATGCGGGCGGCAGAGTTTTGTATGACCTGGATCTTACGGATGGTGGTGGAGGGGAGACCGGTGAGGAGGGCGTTGGAGTAGTCCAGCCGAGCGGTGACAAAGGCATGGACCAGGGTTTCAGCGGCTTTTGAAGTGAGGAATTGGCGGAGACGGGCGATGCATCGGAGGTGGAAGAAAGCACAGAATATACTGTAAAGTGAATAGACTATATATTTTGTGTGGGAAACACAGCAGCCAATTGCGCACAGCAGTGTCCCACAAACAGTCGTGGATTGAGTGACCACAATATTATTATTATTTTAAGGGATTATTACCCCCAGAAAGCAATCCGCCAATCGACTAACAAACGGGATCCTACTTCCTAACGGGGTCACTGCTGGGTAAACAGAGGCGTGTGTGTGGCATAAGGAAACTTGCCTAAGGTATCATCCTGTGCCACCTGGGAATCGAACTCAGGTCCTCTCGCTTGTGATTGCATTATTATTGTTAACACTGCTTCACTATGGAGTCCTGCAGCTCAGTGGTTAGAGCACTCGCCTTGCAAGCAAGACACCTGGGTTCAATTCCAGGCAGAGGGTGAAACCTTGAGCAAGTTTCCTTATTCCACACACCTAATAATAATCCCTCCAAAACAAAACAATAATAAATTGATCGTTTTCAATCCACAATTGTTTGTGGGACATTGCTGTGCGCAATTGGCTGCCGCGTTTTGCCCACAAATATACAGTCAATTCACTTCACAGTCTATTCTGTGAAGCGCTTTGAGACGTCTGGAAGACGTGAATAGCGATATATCAAATGCAAAGATTATTATTATTATATGTTCAAGTATGAACATATTTACATAGGAAACCATGTCACCATTTGCCAGATGTTTTGGGAGGGGGAATACATACTGAGTGTTTATTCAAACTACCAACTTGTGAAAGTAGTAACTCTGAAGATCACCTTGAGCATTGAGAAAATAGCTATGCTTCTGGTCAGCAAAAACAGAGCAAATACTGTATTCTCCTTTGACACAATGCTAATCAAAATACCTGTACTATCACAATGAGATTATATTTATGGATATGGTGGCCTTTTGTTGGAGACAACAGAAAGAATAATTACACTCTTAAGCAGGTAGAAACTTTCCTTCCAAATGTTTAGAATCACTCGGGCTACATGGCTAGATTGTGGTCCTGGTGCTCACAGCTTACCCTGCCATCTGCTGGAGCTGTGGAACTGCACTGAATGTCCCCCAATAACTCTTAAATGACCAACATGTTGATTCTGCTGGTGTCCAGCTTCCTAATGGAACCCACTTCACTTCTGCTGATGTTCTACTCCCACCTCAGCTGCCAGATACCAAGTGAATGGAACTGTTTCCTTTCCCCCAACTACCCCATCGTGTTGCTGAGTGCTCCAAAGAATAATGATAATAATCCTTACATTTGATCATAGTGCCTTATCATATCTTCGAGACGTCTCAAAGCGCTTCACAGAATATACTGTAAAGTGAATTGACTGTATATTTTGTGGGTGAAATGTGGCAGCCAATTGAGCACAGCAGCGTCCCACAAACGGTGGATTGAGTGAGCAGATCATTATTATTTTTTTTGAAGAGATTATTACCCCCATAAAAGCGATCCGCCAATGCTTTTAATAACCACCATGCTTCTACTTACTGCTGGTAAACAGAGGCTTGTGGAGAAAGGAAACTTGCCCAACGTTTCACCCTACGGGAATAGAACCCAACTCCTCTCGTTTGCGAGGCAAGTGCTCTAACCACTGAGCTACAGGACTCCCCAATGGCATGTCCCCCAATAACAGAGGCTGATCTCTGCTTTGAACAATGGCATTTCATCATAGATACAGATTGGCAAAGGTCCACAACCCTTCTCTACTGTAAAGTACAAGCTGAAGCTGATCAAGAGATAAAATGACCTCAACTCACCCTACTCTTCAACTTGATATCCAAGCTTCTTCACACTTCACAGACTTCACAGTCACTTGCGCATCAGTTTTTGATTGTGTAGGAAAGGTACAATGCCTCGTCTCAGTAGTTCCAGATGAAGATGATAAACCGCCTTTATGAAACAACAGCAGATTCACTGTCTCTTGAGATGTATATTATTTGTGACAGCTGTCAGTGAGATTGTTGTCGTAAGGCAGACATTATTTTTATTCTTTTAAATGCTTGTGGTCATTTTTTGGAGAAAGTTTATTTCTCAGTGCATTTTTTTTGAACATGTACACACTTGGCTCTGCTGGGTAAGAGATGAAGAAATGAGAGGCTGTTACGGGTTTATATTATACGGGAGAATAACACACAGTTTATATTACAGTATGAATAACAGCAAGGTGGGTGAGTTAACAGTGTACTGGCTAACAATACTTAACAGACATTCAGAATAAAACTCTCACTGAATAACAATCCTTGCATTCGATATCGCGCCTTGTCATGTCCTTGAGACGTCTCAAAGCACTTCACGGAATATACTGTAAAGAGAATTGATTGTATATTTTGTCGGCAAAACTCGGCAGCCAATTGCGCACAGCAGCGTCCCACAAACAGTTGTGGATTGAGTGACCAAATTAATATTATTATTTTTTTGTGACAGATTATTACCTCTGGAAACAAGATCTGCCAATCGTTTAAACATAAGGCAAATAACAAAATAACTGGGCAAAAACATTGTAAAGTACTGGAATGAACCGTACAATACAATTTTACATTTCTACAGCGCCTTTCACATCGGTAGGACGTCCCAAGGTATTTAACATTCCTGACGGGAGTCAAGGTCGGGAGGGGAAAGTGATGAAAGCACATGAACAGCAAAGAGGCAGGTGTTGAGAAAGAGATTGAATGAGGTTTATATAAATATGGATATAAATATACACAATTGCATATTATAATGGAGAATAACACAGTATGTTAAAATTGGTAAACACAGAAAATATACAAGGAATAATGATATTACAATAGGAAATAACAACCATGGGATAGATTATAATGCACAGTATATTGTGAGTACGTTTTATTATAGTCAATAACAGAATAAATACTGTACATGATATACAGTAACAGCACAAAGTACATCTGTGATCTTCCTACATTCAGTATTATCTTTAGAGATTTTTTTATGAAGGTGACAAGAGTGAAAATCTCTTTTGTAAAAGCTGTTGAGAGTCAATGCCTTTATTCTCCTGACGTGGTTTGTCTTTCCTACAGAAATATGGTTAGCAGAGTGGTTAGAGCGCTCACAAGCGAGAGGACCTTGGTTCGATTCCCGGCCAGTCAGGGCGAAACCTTAGGTATGTTTCCTTACTCCACACACACGTCTCTGTTTATTTAGCAGTAAGTAGGAACCCACTTGTTAGTTGATTGGCGGATCGCTTTCCGAGGGTAATAATCCCTGAATAATAATAATAATTTGTTCACTCAATTCACGACTGTTTGTGAGACACCGCTGTGTGCAATTGGCTGCCGCATTTCGGATATCTGAACTGAGTGGCTACAGTCAACCGCGAGTCGTAAGCATTCTGACCTACCACAGGGCTCCTCTCATTCGGGGAATGGTATGTATTAACCAGAGATAAATCTCTAGCCATGGAATCCTCCAAAATCCACACCCAGCCCAAATCGGCTTGTCCACAACCACTATTGCTCAAGGGTGGGCCAAAAATCTCACTCGTCTCCGGGGGATCTGCTGCAAATACAATGGAGGATCATCTGTCTGGTTCCTGGGGGAGGTAGTCCTCTCCAGCACTGGTTCTGTTCCAGCTGTTGAGAAGCGATGGCTGTCTGGATGTGCTCTCATTTGAAGCTGTCTCCAGGGCACTCCCGCAGTCCGTTTGTGTAGGAGTGTTTTCGATGGCTGGAAAATTACTTGCGCAAGAAAACAAATGATATTTTTAGTCAACCCCCTGAACAGCCAATGTCATAATATACGAAATGCAATTGTACAGCCATGAAGTCTTTCTTAAACATTCTGCACACAGAGGGCTGGGAGCATAGAGAAGGCATGGGCCAGAAATACAATGGTGCAGAATCAATTCAGGTTTTTAAAAGGGAAACAAATAATACTAAAGAAATAAGGGTATTGGAGTCCTGTAGCTCAGTGGTTAGAGCACTCGCCTCGCAAGCGAGAGGACCTGGGTTTGATTCCTGGGCAGGGTGAAATGTTGGGTAAGTTTCTTTACTCCACACGCCTCTGTTTACCCAGCAATGAGTAGGAAGCTGGATCTTCGTCAATTGGTGGATCGCTTTTCCGAGGTTAATAATCCTTTCAAAAAATGTTTAAAAAAATGTGGTCACTCAATCCACGACTGTTTGTGGGGACGCTGCTGTGCGAAATTAGTTGCTGCGTTTTTCCCACAAACAGTCAATTCACTTTACAGTATGTGAAGCGCTTTGAGACATCTCAAAGACATGATAAGGCGCTGCAAGGATTATCATTATTATTATTATTGAGGAAAAAAAATAAGGGATAAAATTCAAAGATAAAAAACTGCCAGAAAGCTTTTCCAAAGAGCCTGCACAGGCACGATGGGCCGAACAGCCTCCTCCTGTGCTGTAATATTCTACGATTCTTATATGATGTGGAAATGTTCCTGGACATAAAACAAAAACAGGATGAGATTAATTTAAAGTAACAGCTGCTCACTTGTGGGTTACTGGTGCCTGTGTCTCTTCCTTGGCAAGTAGACGCTGAGTCCTGTTTCTCTGTATGAAGGAGGCCTTTCCCCTGGTCTCTGTTTTTATGGGGTAAGGATTAACAACGCTAGATGTTGCTTCGTGCCGAATGACATAACCTAGACTGGTCCTGCTCACCCCAGCCTCCCCCAGACCTGCCTGCTTTCGCTGCTTGCAGACTGAAGGATACCAACATTTATTAGCAGAGAACAGGAGCAATCGGTGCAGACAGCCTGGCTCGACGGCAGGACCTAAAAGGGCAGACCAGTTACTGGGGGCAGGGAGTCCTCCCATTCAACTCCTGTTAACCTTGCAAACAACCAAAGCCCTAACGGATAGGGTGGTCCTAGCCGGATAAGCAGCGAGAAAGCTTGCTAGACAATATCAATGGCAAGCTGTGTGGTTTTAGCTGGTTAGACTCCAGCAGTTACCCCCAACACACACTCTGGGGTCCCCAAGTCTTGGCTGTTGCCAACCTGCGCCTAATACTTTCCGCAATTAGGTAAGCAGGATGTGTCTCTCGAGGGAGAAAGAGCACATTCCAATCCAACAATCTATCTCTGGGATTTCCATGTGTGGGTAGAATGCATTGGAAATCTCAGATTGGTTTGGAGACACACCGGCGGCAATTGATATCATTAGGGAGCTTTTACATTTTTAAACATTTCAAAACTACAGTAAATCCCAGCTTTAATCTTGTCTGCTCCCTCCACTCAGCAGGTCTTTCCAGGCCCCTGGTGACAAAAGCGCTCCCAACTGAACCAGGCAAACAGTAAGGACAAACTGCTGATTTCACACTGCAGGGATTTAAACAGTCTTTAAAGCCAGGGGTCAGCTCTACGACTATTCTAATAATAATAATCCTTGTATTTGATATAGTCTCTTATCGTTTCGTTGAGACGTCTCAAAGCGCATCACTTGCTGTAAAGTAGAGTGGTTGTGTAGTTTGTGGGAGAAACGCAGCAGACAATCGCACACAGCAGAGTCCCACAAACAGTCATGGACTGAGTGACCAAATTATTATTATTTTATTTTGAAGGGGTTATTTTCCCCGGAAAAGTGATCCACCAATTGACTAACAACCAGCTTCCTACTTACTGCTGGGTAATTAGAGGTGTGTGTGTGTGTGGGGGGGGGTGTATATTCTATATATTAGCTCTAAAAACAGTATATATATTAGCTTTAAACTGGAATTAAATAAAAGGACAGATTAGAAAAAGGCAGAAGAATGGGACTAAATGGATAGTTCCTTTAGAGTCACTCAGAGACAGCAGTCAGGGTCAATGGAACGGACTCCTGTGCTGTACATTTCATGCTTCTAAAGATGCTGACTCAGGGCAATTTGAGCAACACACATGGCACTGGGCAGCAAAGGGGTGTCCAGGGGGGAAGATCAGAGCAGGTAAGAAGCAATCGTGTACGATTCCACATTTAGAGCAACAACTTGCCTTTATATCCTGCACTTTATTGTGGGGTTGGACACTGAGAAAAAGAGAATGGGGCAGAGGAAGTGGCCATAGGTGCATGCGAGTCAAAGAGATAGGGAGCTGCTAGACGTGAAAGGAATTGATAGGTGAGGATGAGGATCTTGAAGTCAATCTGTTTGGAGACAGAGAGTCAATAGAGCCACCTCCCCACTTAATGTAGAAAGACTCCAACAGCCCCTGTAGAAAGAATCACCAGCTACCTTTACTGAAGTCGCCTTCTGTCTCCTCAACACATGAGCATTTGGTACATTGCTGGGTCCATGCTTGTCCCTCCCTGAAAGGAGGAGAAATATTTCCATTGAGAGGGTGGGCTGCTGACTGCGCCCCCGGTACCCGAAGGGAAAAGCGTTACCATCTCAAGCAGTTAAAATATTCTTCTTTTTCATCATTTCTCCCTCCACTTTTCCCATCTTTCTCTGCAAAAGCTGGGCACGGCCCCATCAACATTGCAACCTGCCTGTCTCATCTGTCTTGTCTGATATGCAAACACACATTCAATGACAATAATAACCCCTGCATTATCACAGAATATACTGTAAAGTGAATTGACTGTATATTTTGAGGGCGAAACAAGGCAGCCAATTGCGCACAGTAGCGTCCCACAAACAGCCATGGATGACTCTCTAGGAGGGCTCATTTCCAGATTGCAGTGGTCAGTATAACCCTGGCTCCATTTCTCTCTGAAAAACTGGTACTTGCATTTTGTGCTTCACACCATTTATCCTGAAACCCTTAGCAAAGGGGTTTTTGTCTATCTTCAGCTGAGTAACCTCTAAGAAAAAGAACATTGGTTAGTTGAGTGTGGATTGTTTAACTGCAGTGATTTGGAGGAATTTAAAGTTTTCTTGTTTTCTGTCTAGCGGTGTGATAGAAATATTAATAATAATTTAAATCAAGGCTAGAAAATCTTTTAAAATCATAGCAACATAAGCAACAGAAACAGGAGGAGATTCAGCCCATTGAGCCTGTGTGACACTAGTGTATCTTGACAAATCTTCGCCATATTCCTGAATACCCCCTCTTCCCAAATACAGTATCTGTGTCTATCTGTCTTTTAAACATCGCTTTGGATTCCACCACCACTTTCTGGTGGTGGATTCCACACGGTCATAACTCTCTGTTTGAAGAAATGCTTCTCGACCTTGGTTCTAACTGTTATATCCAATTCCAATGATCTCTATACCAGAAGGAAGAGCAGTCCAATATTCAGTCAATTCATATCATTATTTTAAATTCCGGCATTCAAATCATCCCTTAATCTCTCAGTCTCTCATCATAGCTAAACCATTTCAGTCTAGGAATCTAGTGAGGAGTCACTGGGCACCCTCCAAGGGTTCCTAAGACTGTGTCCAAAACTGCAGAGTACAGTCCAAATGAGTCCAGTGCTGTATATAACTGGTGTGATATGTTTCTATTCCAGACTCCTTGTAATAAATGTCTTGTTGTTGATTGACTGTTTTGCTTCACCTGAGAATCAGAGTTCAATGATTTATGAATTTGAACCCCTGGATCTCACCACTCATCTTCTCCATCCTCTGTCTCTGCCTCTACCCTTAACTCCAAGACTCTGTACTGACCAACTGCCTGTTAGACATCAAGTCCAGATGAACTCTAACTTTCTTCGGTTCCATGCTGAGGAGACGGAGCATTTTGCCAGTGCCTTCAAACCTCAGCGGCTTAACCTACAGAGCAGTGTCAAACCTCAGTCTCTTGTTTGATTCCCAACTTCAAACCCTACATCTAAATCATTATCATTATTGGGATCAGGGTGGGTAGAGGGTAGGGGTAGAGGGTGGCCGAATGCATGGTTGAAGAGGAGGGTCTTGAGACGTGCTTTGAAGGAGGCGAGGGAGGTGAGGGAGGGGGCAAAGGGATTGTGGGATGGAGACTACCCCAATGATCTGCTTGCCAGACTCCTCAGATTTTCCCTTGATAACTTGCAAACTATCGGGAGCTCTGCAACACATTGTCCTTTCCTGCACCAGACGCTGCCAACCTATCACTCCCCAAACCTCAGCCCCTGGTACATACTTCATTTGTTTGTAATTTTGCTGTTCAAATTTGCACTGAGAACAAAAAAGTTATTTGGTATGATTCTCATGTGTGTTTTATATGGTAGTAAGTCTTTACTGTCAATGGAATAATAATAATAATCCTCGCATTTGATATAGAGCCTTATTGAGTCATCTCAAAGCGCTTCACTGAAGATACTGTAAAGTGGAGTGACTGTGTATTTTGTGGATGAAACGTGGCAGCCAATCGCACAAGGCAGTGTCCCACAAACAGTTGTGGATTGAATGACCAATTTTTTTTGAAAGGAAAGTGATCTGCCAATCTACTAGCAACCGGGTTCCTACTTACTGCTCGGTAAACAGGGGTGTGTGGAGTAAGGAAACTAGCCTAAGGTTTCGCCCTGCCCGGGAATCTAACTTGTGTGGCGAGTGTTCTAACTACTAAGCTACAGGACTCCACGATGTAAAACACAGTTTAACCAATTGTTTCAGGTGAATGGTCCTCAGGAACAGCAAACAGCTGTGGCACTGGAGGATGGCTTACCTTGATAAACTGTGATAAACACCTTCTCGGGGAACACAAAGATGGCAAAACCGTTCCAGCAGAGACTGTACTGGTTATTTGTCTCAACAATGTGAAACCGGGGCTGATACTTGTGCATCGAATGCAAAATGATCTGAAAGAGCAAGGTTTCCCGTTTGTTAGAATGTTTATAGCATAAAATGAATCCATTGGAGCCCTTGTGTCCATATTAGTGCCCTCACTAGGCCTTCCTTACCAAAACCATTTATAATTGAAATCCCTGCATTACAGCAACAACAAGCATTTATACATAGAGAGCGTTTCTCATGCAAAGTAGCGTCTCAGAGTGTTTAAATTCAATTACCCACCCCCCCCATTAATCTTCCCTGTTTCAATGAAAACAGTCTGAACATTGCTTTATTTTAATTTTATAATAATAATAATTCTTGCATTTGATGTAGCGCCTTATCAAGTCATTTTGAGACCGCTCAAAGCTCTTGTGGGTGAAACAAAATTAAATTTTAGTGAAATTAAATTCAATTAAATTGAAAGAAAATTTAATTTTCTCTTCTCATTTTTCTAGCTGTTGGCAAATCTTCTGCTCCTGGTTCCTTTTTATGTTCAGCCGGGTTGTCTGATACCTGCTGAAACCCATCACCATACTTAAAGAGTATCCAAATCAAACAGAGTTCCACATATGTATGCCACTCACGTAGGGAAATTTCCACCTGTCTGGAGTCTAACTAACTAAAGCCACATTGCTTGCCACTGGCTGGCAAACGTCCCACTGCTTGTCCAGCTGGGACCACCCTACCCATTAGGGCTTTGGCTTGCAGGGTTAACAACAACTACTACTTGAATTTATATAGCACCCTTCACGCAGGTAGCGTCCCGGAGAGCTTATCAAGACTTAAGTAGTAAGAATTCCTGCCCCCAGTGACTGGGCTGCCCCTCAGTCAAGTCTGATCTCTCCTCACCCAAACAATAATAATAATAATCCTTACATTTGATGCAGCGCCTTATCACGTCATCGAGACGTCTCAAAGCGTTTACCAGAATATACTGTAAAGTGAATTGACTGTGATTTTGGGGGCGAAAAATGGCAGCCAATTGCACACAGCAGTGTCCCACACACAGTCATGGATTGAGTGACCAAATTATTATTATTAAGGGATTGGTACCCCCAGAAAAGCAATCCGCCAATCGACTTATAACCGTGTTCCTACTTACTGCTGATAAACAGAGCCGTGTGGAGTAGGGAAGCTTGCCCATCGTTTCACCCTGCCCGGAAATCAAACCCAGGTCCTCTCACTTGTGAGACGAGTGCTCTAACCACTGAGCTACACGACTCCAGAGGAACTGGGAGCTGCCTGGTTTTCCCCTCTCTACCCCCTGGGAAGGCTGAGGCCAATTTAAACCCCTAGCTAAAGAGGGTAGATCCGGTCCGGATTTCCTGGCTAACTGCTTATCATAAGAACATAAGAATTTGCTGGCGAAAGAAGACCGAGGTCCATCTAACTCTCCTTCCACCATTCTGGCAGTCGCTTGACATGTCGTGTCCCAAACTATATGCTGTTTCCTCAGGTATTATTTTCTAACAGAAATCTATCTAATTTGTTCTTGAATCAAACAACATTTTCTGCTTCCACCGTCTGTCTCCCTAGGGAGCCTGTTCCATACATTTACTACTCGCTCATTGGAACAATTTTTAACCCTTCAATCGCAGGCCGTGTCCTCTGGTTCTACTATTCAGTATAAGATAAAACAGCTTATTAGGGTCTACATTATCTATTCTCTTCAGAATCTTGAAGACCGTAATCATATCACTCCTCAACCAGTGTGAACGTTCCCAGTTTACCTTATCGTTCCTCATTGTCCAGTCCCTCCATCGCTGCAATATCCTCTTTATATTGCGGTGACCAGAATTGCACACAATATTCCAAGTGTGGTCGCACCAGTGATATATACAGTGACAGGATTATCCCACTATTTCAGCTCAATATTGCCCTTTTAATACAACCCAGCAGCTGGATTGTCTTACTCACTGCTGCCGAGCACTGTTTAAGCGCCCTGAGACGCTGCCTGGCATGGAGGGCGCTACATCAATGCAAGTTATCGTTGTTGTTGTGATAGCTTTTCAAGCCTCTCCACATAAATATTGCATCTGGTTCCCAGCATCATCCTAGTGATTCTCCACTGTAACCTTTGGCATGGAGTTGGACCAAGTAAACTTGACACAATTTGATGCATGCAAAGCCCGAGAGGTAACACTAAATACGTGTGGGAATCTCACGTGTCCGTGGCGATCGAGTGTATTGTTGGTGAGTTTGATTTTGTGGAAGGAAACGGGATGTCCCATCCAGACCTCCCCAGAGCTGGGAGAATCGTGATGGATGCAGAAGCACCTGGGAGGACCGGGTTCAGCTCTGTTTCCTGTTTTCCACAGCTTGCACTGCCATTTGTAGCGGATGTTGTCCACAGAAACGATGTCCATCAGCAGGGAGTATTGAGAGTGAGGAGCCAGGCCTGACACGCTCACTTTGCACTGAGGGAATATCCGTCTGTCAGGAAGGAAGACAAAATTAAACCTTGAAATGATCACAAAGCAGCCCAGACCGTCAGCTGGTCCAGCAATACACTCACTAGTGCTGTAGTTGTTTTGTTTTTCTTCACACCTGAAGTTATTAACCAGGTGTGGAGATGCCATTTTAAAATCTCCTGCCTGAACCAACGACTGGATCTCATGAGGTGACGTGACTTCCACTCGCTGTTTTTCAGGGCTGTCAGGCTAAGTATAGTTTTGATTTCTGATGTTTGCTCAGGGTGCCTGGTGGAATGACCTTTACAGGACAGCTTGTGAAACGCTAGCCACAATCCCATTTACCTGCCCTTTCCCCTTCGGCCACCCTCCTACCCCCACCCTCCTAACCTCCTGATCCCAACCCCCAGCTCGGGTCCAAATCCCCGATTGTCCCGTCCCTTGGGACGTCCTCCCGACGTGAAAGGCACTTTACCAATTAATTTGTTGGTTATCGTTGTTGTTGTAGTTTACTCCTTTTTAGTTATCTATCTACAGTAGTTCCCTTTTCAAAGCTTATATCAATTTTACCCCAACCCCCGCCCCCGGCAAAGCATTTCATATCCTAACAACTCTGTATGTAAAAATTTCTCCTAACTTCACCATTTTACCTTATAATAATCCTTGCATTTTATTGCAGTGCCTTATTATGTCATTGAGACACTTCAGAACGCTTCACAGTCTATCGACTGTAACTATATATTTTGTGGCCAAACACAATGGACCCGTATAGTCTGAGCTGATGCTTCAATGCAACGCTGGGGAGGGGTTGCATTTTTGGAGGTGCTGTCCTTTAGATGAAATGTTAAACCGGGGTCCCGTCTGCCTGTCCAGGTGGACATTAAAGATCCCATGGCGCGATTCAAAAAGGGAGGGAGTTCAGGGTCCTGACAACAACAACAACAACACAACAACAACAAGATTCCATTTATAGAGCACCTTTCACGTCGGGAGGACGTCCCAAGGCGCTGGACAGTTGGGTCGGGACCCGAGCATTGGGGAAATGGTCAGGGTGAGGGGAGGGAAGGGAGGGAGCGAGGAGGGGGTAGAGAGTCGAGAGGGGAGTTGAAGGCTCGGTCAAAGAGAAAGGTCTTGAAGGAGGAAAGGGAGGAAGCGGCGAAGGCACTGGGGGATAGGGTTCCTGAGCCGTATCTTATAATATAATGTCTTATAATAATAACAACAACATAGCATCTCAGAGCTACCAACAATCGACCAACAATCCCCCAAAATAAAGCAGTGGTCCAACAGCCTCAGCTCATTGTCCAAACCACTCATGCCCCGTGTGTCCTCTGCATCCTCCTCTGTGGACTTGACGTCTTTCCTGAAGTGGGTGACCAATATCGGACACAGTATTCTAACTGTGGTCTAACGATTTATTTAAATTTAGCCTTACCGCTTTGGTTTTATATTGTCTGAAACTTAGGATTCCATTAGCTTTTTTGACAGCTTTGTCATCTGCCTTCTTACCTCTAAGAATTTATGGCTGTTAACCCCTAGATCCCTCTGCGCTTCCCTTTTTATTATATTTTTATTACCTAGCATGTATTTGCTCTCCTTATTTTTCCTCCCAAAATGTATAACATCACATTTGTCCACATCACAGTTCATTTGCCATTTCTCTGCCCAATCAACTACTCTATGTCCCCTTTACAACATTGCTGACAATATCTTCAGCTATAATAATAATCCTTGCATTTGATACAGCGCCTTATCACGTCTTCGAGACGTCTCAAAGCGCTTCACAGGATATACTGTAAAGTAAATTCATTGTATGTTTGTGGGCGAAACCTGGGAGCCAATTGCACACAGCAGCGTCCCACAAACAGTCGTGGATTGAAGTGACCAATTTATTATTGTTTTTTTTTTAGGTGTGTGGAGCAAGGAAACTTGCCCAAGGTTTCGCCCTGACCTGCCAGAAATCGAACCCATGTCTCCTGCTTGCGAGGCGAGTGCTCTAACGACTTACCTACAGGACTCCTTGAAGTTGGTTACTTTCCCTATTGTTTTGTCTTATATCAGAATCATTCATATAAATGGAGAAAAGCAACAACAACTTGCATTGATACAGCGCCCTTCACCCGGGGCAGCGTCTCAGAGCGCTTCACAGTGGCAGCGCCTGACCCAAGCTGGGAGGAGGAGGTGACCGTACGCACAATTGAAGAGGAAAGTCTTCATTGTGATCCAAAAGGGGGGAAGGAGGGGGCAAGGCAGAGGGATTGGGAGAGCGTTCCAAAGCTTCGGGGAGTAGTAGCTGAAAGCATGGCCGCCGATAGTGGAGGGGAGGGGACGAGGGACAAGCAGGAGGCCAGAGCCAGCAAGTGCCTGAAAGGCCGGTGAAAGCTGATTTGATAACAACTTTTAAGAGAGAAGTAGATAATTATTTGGAGAGAACAAGTTTGCAGGGCTATGAGGAGAGAGCGGGGGAGTGGGGTTGATCAGGGCTATGAGGAGAGAGCAGGAGAGTGGGGTTGATCAGGGCTATGGGGAGAGCGGGGGAATGGGGTTGATCAGGGTTATGGGGAGAGAGCGGGGGAGTGGGGTTGATCAGGGCTATGGGGAGAGAGTGGGGGAGTGGGGTTGATCAGGGCTGTGGGGAGAGAGCGGGGGAGTGGGGTTGATCAGGGCTATGGGGAGAGAGCGGGGGAGTGGGGTTGATCAGGGCTATGGGGAGAGAGCGGGGAGTGGGGTTGATCAGGGCTATGGGGAGAGAGCGGGGGAGTGGGGTTGATCAGGGCTATGGGGAGAGAGCGGGGGAGTGGGGTTGATTTGGAAGCTCTTTGCAAAGAGCCGACACAGACACGATGGGCCGATTCTATGAAGTGGAGGGAGTGGGTAGAAACCAGGTCAAAAAAAGAGAAATAGCAGATAGACCTGTCAGCTTGACATCGGGGGTTGGAAAGGTGATGGAATCCTTACTGAAGGAGGTCATAGAAAAACATCTAGAAATGGAAAACATAATAAAGTATAGACAGCACGGATTTCAAAAAGAGGTTGACCAACCTCATTGAATTCTTTGAAGGGGTAACAGAGAGAGTAGACAAGGGGAATGTGGTATATGTAATATATTTAGATTTCCAAAAGGTGTTCGATAAGGTACCACATAATAGACTAATGAATAAGCTCAGAGCAGGTGGAGTCCGGGGCAAAATAGCAGAATGGATAGCAATCTGCTACAAACAGAGAGTAGGGTAAAGGGCAGCTACTCAGACTGGCAGGGGGTGGGCAGTCGTGTTCCACAAGGATCGGTATTGGGACCCACTGTTGTTCACAATATACATATACAATATACATTAATGATTTGGTCTCGGGAATCAGCAGGACAATTTCAAAATTTGCGGACGACACCAAATTTTGGGCAGTAGTTAATATAGAGGACGGCAACAAATTACAGCAAGACATTAATAAACTTGCTGAGTGGGCATTTAAATGGCAAACGCATTTGAATGTAGAAGGGTGTGAGGTGGTACATTTTGGTAGAAGGAATAAGGAAGTCATAAAAGGCCATAAAAGGCAATCCAGGCATTGGGTTCATTTCTAGAGGGATAGAAATGAAAAAAAGGGAAGTTCTGGTGAATTTCTACAGAACCTTGGTTAGACCACACTTAGTTCTGGTCCCCATATTACAGAAGGAATGTAGAAGCACTGGAGAGGGTGCAAAGGAGATTCTCAAGGATGATCCCAGAGCTGAGAGGTTATACCTATCAGGAAAGGCTGAACATACTTGGACTCTTTTCTCTTGAAAAGAGGAGGGTAAGGGGTGACCTGATAGAGGTCTTTAAAATGATGAAAGGTCAACATAAGGAAGATGTTTCCACTTGTGGGGGAGACCAAAACCAGAGGCCATCAATATAAAATAGTCACAAATAGATCAAATAGGGAAGTTAGAAGAAATGTCTTCACACAGAGAGCAGTGGGAATGTGGAACATGCTACCGCAAGGAGTAGTTGAGGAATAGAAGGTTCTGCTTGAGGCTTAGTTGAGGAAGGGCAGGAGGAGGCTCGTGCAGAGCATAAACACCAGCCAGTTGGGCCAGTATTGGCCTATTTCTGTGCTGTATATTCTAATGGATTCTAATGTAAATGTTTTTGGTGTAGAGTAGTTTTTTTGATAGAATCCCAGGTCTCTTCCCACACCTCCCTCAGATGTCTGCTATTCACCTCATGGTTGGTGAATAATAACATGGAATAACATGAAACTGATTCCACCTCAACTTTCCTCAAATTGGAATGGGAATTTTTAAGGGTTTAAGGGATAGAACCTAGAAAACACTGACACTTACATCACAGAAGAAGGCCATTTGGTCTCTCATATCTGTACCAGCTCCCTCAAGAGCAATCCTCTCAATCCCACTTACCCCACCTTTCCCCACGCCTTTAAGTTTTCTGTCTAGTTCCTTTTTGAAAGCCAATAAGGATTCTGCCTCAACCACCGGTCCCAGCCGGGCATCCTATATCCTAACTACTCTGTGCATGAAAACATTTCTCACTACCCCATCCTTTACTCTCGTCTACTGCATTCTATTTACTGTCTCACCGACCAGTGGAAATAATTTCTCCCCATATTTGAATAATTTCAAAATTCTGCTGCTCAAATACTGACCTGGACCAAACTCTGTACCCACATCTGACCAGTTGGTGCCACAGGTTTTGTTCTCTAAGTACCTTAAGTACCTTAAGTACCTTAGCAAGCTATCAACTAGGCCTCAGTCTTGGAAAATGGTGCATTGAGTGAAGACACTGGCTTTACTGTTTGAGGTCGGCAAAGCTGGCTAATAATGCACCTTTAGCTGCTGTCACATGTTAGCATCATTATCATATACCTGTGTACATTCCTGCATTCACTAAACCTCCCTGTAGGCACTTGCATATCTGTGAAGCTTGCTGGAACACAAGATTCTCCTCTTTCGCCTTATAAATGGTCTCTGTTAATAATAATAATCCGTGCATTTGATAAAGCGCCTCATCACATCTTCGAGACATCTCAAAGCGCTTTACAGAATATACTGTGAAGTGAATTGACTGTATATTTTCTGGGTGAAACGAGTAGATAATTGTGCACAGCAGCGTCCTACACACAGTCGTGGATTGAGTGACCAAATTTTTTTTTGAAGGAATTATTATCCCTGGAAAAGCGATCCGCCAATCGACTAACAACCCAGTTCCTACTTACTGCTTGGTAAACAGAAATGTGTGGAGTAAGGAAACTTGTCCAATGTTTCGCCCTGACGGGAAATGAACCCAGGCCCTCTAACCACTGAGCTACAGGACTGTTATGCCATACTGTAACCACGTTGCTCCATCTTTAACCAGCTATAGCGTGCCTTATTGGGATCCAATCTGGGTCCAGCCCACATTATGTATAAAGAGTCTGTGAGTGGCTGAAGGTCAATTAGCAATCGGCACCATCCTACCTTTCAACTGCAGGTGCTGGCTGTAGCCACAGGGGTTGGATTCAGCAGATCCCAGACTGACCTCTCCGCTCCTGTTGCCCCTGTAGAGATTGGACTCGACATGTTCCTGAGAGCAGTCCAGCGCTCCATCTGATGTGAGCAAGTGCAGCCAGAGGCACAGAACTGCCCTATTTATGCCGAGGACAAATTCTGATGGCCACCCTCTCACACATTGTAGGTTGTGGCTGGGACTGAACACAACCTGAAACCCAGGAGAATACTGGAGCCAAGGTTGACACCTCCACACACTCTTCACACATACAAACCAAACAGAGAGGCATAAAAGCTGCTTTTTCATATACCGCATTGACCATTCAATGTCAAAAGCTACTTAAAGTGAGAATAATGACATCTATAAAACGGCTGTTAGCAAATATTGACTGAAACTGGTCAGATTTTGTTGCTTCTCCACTCCTGAGATGGAGATTCATCAACTGCTGAGTCTGTGTTTTTTTAAACTTCTCAAACTCTTTCCTCTCTTTGGTTTTATGGCCATCAACTTACCCTTTAATATCTTATCCATCATCTCACATTCGAAAGCACTGTCTAACAATAAAGGACAATCCATTACACTAGAGCCAACAGATGCTATCTTTACGCTGAGATTTGGTGCAGTACTTTGACTGCAGATAGACCATGCAGTTTTATTGTGTCTTTAGCACATTGAAACTCAAAGCGCTTCACGAGGGATTACTGTGTTGATTGCAGCAGTTATTTTTCCACCAGCAAAATCTCAAAAACCACCTAAGTTCTCTGTCCAATTAATTACAATTGTTGGGTCAGGACATTGGCAGAAACATTTTTTTTGTCCTAACGACCATTTTGGAATCTTTAATATAAACCATAAATAGACAAATGGGTCCTCAGTTTTACTTCTTAACTGAAAGGTGGCAACACAGTGCTACCCCAATATTCAACTGAAGTGTCAGCCTTTAAACTCAGGCTTCATTCCACAATTTTCTGACCCAATGGCAACCGTACTGACAAATGAGCCAACTTGACGCTTGCAAGAAAGTCACCGTGCTGAGGAATACATAGATTCATGTTGAGCTTTGAATTGAGGGAAGAATGGAAGGGGATAAACAGGGTCACAGATGGTGGAGGGCTTGAGGGACGCACAGCATGGCTGTGTCCACTGAGTGAAGAGGATGGCTGGTGGAGTGGGGTATGAGCAGGTCATAGAGGTAGGGAGGTGCGTGTGAAAACCGTGAAATTGATCCTTTTGGAGATGGGGAGCCATTGGAGCCTTGTGAGGATTGGTGAGATTGAGGTCTCAAACAGCGTAAAAGGAAGCCTAGCAATTTTTGGGTTTAGTTTGTTTATTTGTAGCTGCCATCAGCCTGTAGTATCTCATGCGAACACTGTAACAGATGTTTTTTTACAGAAAGAGTAAGAGTAGCTTTACAGTCAAACCATTGCATATAAAAATGCAAAAAAAAAGCATTCCCCGTGACAGAACATTCAATAGTCAAGGCCAAATGCTTCAGTTAAAATTGTTTTTGCTGCTGCTGCTAAGCAAAAAACACAGTTTAGGAAGTTTCTGGTAAAAACAGAATACATAGTCACAAGGGATGCAGAAGCCCTTAGAAAACAATATAAAACCATCGCAATACAAACTGTAGGAATCTTGGACCACCGGCTTAGAATCACAATACAAAGATTTAAGATTTTTTGTTCAGAAGTGATAAAAACAAATTACCGTCTCGTCTCGCTGGAATCTTGTGTTGACGGTAAATAGGAATGTCACCTGGGACAATCCCAGTCATATCAGCCCCCACTCCCTCCGGCATCCCAACATGCAACCACTTACACTGAACAGTTGGGAAGATAACAAGAGCTTTAAGATTATATTATTGTCCTTGAGACACTTTCCAGGCTGAAAGTATTGCTAGAATTCTCACCATTAGCACTTGCATCAACCTTGTAAATGCTGAGTGGTGTAATTTCCGTCAGTGTCAAATAGTGTCATTGACTGTCGGCCTATAATGAAATTTCTTTCTTCATTATTATCCTGTATCGTGAAAGTCCCTGTCTGTCACACCGACTGGAATTTCAGCACTTTAAGTAAAAACATCAGGGTTCCTGTTGTGCTGTATTGAAGCTTGGATTTACTGGTAAACCCCAGCTATATACTGGCACCACATATCCAGGATTCAGTATTAGTCGGGCAGCGTCTGAAATCATGTCTGTGATTCTCTGTGCTGAACGTCCACATCGCATTTTCAAACTTTGACCAGTCCACATGTCGCTGACACGGATTGATTTACCTGTGAGCATCAACCAGAGCTGCATGGCCTCGGAGGGAATGCAGAACTATTGTTCTTTTTTTGGTCGATTTTATTTATTTGAAATTCATTTTCATTCGTTTTAAATGTTAGGCAAGTTTTATTTATTTTCCACTTTATTTATTTGAAACGTTAAACGTAAAGGATTAAAAGCCTGCGATTGAAGGAGGGGTAAATTCACAGCAAATCTGTGGAAACACTACTCCAGTGAGGTGGTAGTAAACGTATGGAACAGGCTCCCTCGGGAGACAGGCGGTGGAAGCAGAAAATGTGGTTTGTTTCAAGAACAAATGAGATCGATTTCTGTTAGAAAATAATACAGTATATAGTTTGGGGACACAACATGTCAAACGACTGCCAGGATGGTGGAAGGCAAACTAGATGGACCTTGATCTTCTTTCGCCAGCAAATTCTTATGATTAGCAGTCAACCAAGAAATCTAGACCGAATCTCCTCCCTTTACCCGGGGAGGAGGGGGGAGTTTAATCCATCAGCGATAGCCAGGAGAGAGAGGCCAACAAAATTCCTGCAAGTCAATAATAATCCTTAATGATCCTTGTATTTGATATAACACCTTAACATGTCATGTTATCATACCACAACTTCCAGACTCAGAGGCAAGAGTGCTACCCACTGAGCCAGGCTGATGCTCGATAATTCAACACTGGTAGTTTTCAACCATGCAGAATATTTGTACCAAATAACTGAAATTGTAGAGATTATGACACAGCTATGATAAACCTGCTCTTCTGGAAAGCAGTGTATAGGTACGCAGCAGAACAGACTCCAGCCATTCTGTAAAAAGGACCATTAATGGTGCTTTTAAGTAACATCTAATTAAGCACAGGTGCTGTTCCTAAGACTCTTTGAAATGGGAAGGTTTGGGGTATTTTTATAAATTCAAGGATGAACCTGTTTGTTGTTTGTAGATCACCACTGGTTTCTTAGCTGCCATAGATTACAGTCAAACGACCAAATAAATAAATAAAACAGCAGCCATGAGCCACATTCAGTATTGAAACAGTTTGATGGTCACTGCGTCAGGAATGAAGGCTCTAAATTTCTAAAAATGATAAAGTTTGAATTTTAAATATGACAAACTTCGACAACTGGCCACCTCCCCTCTCTGCTCCAGTGAGACTGGAGAGAAGGTACATGTGCAGCAGTGAATGAGTTTCAAACAGCTGAAAACGTTTTACCTATTTGTTCCAAAGAAGGTTTTGTTTGAGGGAATGTGATGGATTTTAACGGTATTATTCTGCAGTATGCACTTTGTCCAAGTTATTTACAAATTGGAATAATTGTATTGAAACCAAAGTCTGTGTCTGAAGGGAATTCTACAATGTCGCTCCCAGAAAACAACATGGCACAGCTCAGCACAGCTCAACCTGGGCTCTTCATCCCACAAGCTGCTCTTAGAGAGAAAAGCACTGATCCTCCGTTGCCTGGATTGAAATCGAGGACTGAAGGACCAGCTGGTGTTCGCCCCAGTCAAAAACCTTCCAGTAGTGACTGTGATTCCATCTGCAAGGTATGGACGTGCCAAGGTTCCTCCTTAGCCCCTCACCAGAAATCAGCTGAAAACAAAATACAGCTAATCTCAGACAAACCCCGAAAACAGACAGTTCTGTTCTGTATGTGCAGTTATAATCGATCACCACCGGGTGCTATTTAAGTAAAAATGATGTACATTCGCTGAAATGGCTTGTAGAACTCATACTGTGTGCGCCTGTGTTTTTAGAGACAGGAATAAGTGAATGCCAGGAATTGACTCAGAGAGAAAATCAATCTCGGCTTCTTGTCAAAACATCCTAACAGCCTGGGAATAGAATCCTACTAATCATCTTTGCATTTGTTACTGCGGCTTTCAGGTTGGGAGGATGTCTTGAAGCATATCACATGAACGTGAAGTGACTGTGTCCAGTATTTTGTAGGCAACACTGTATGCGATCTTTAACATCCACCTGAAAAGGCAAACCGGATATCTGTTTACTATCTCATCTGAAGGACAACACCTCCACAAGAATGGGATGCCAACCCAGCTCTGTATTGGAGTGTCAGCATGATGGTGACTTCAAAGTCCCGAAGTGAGGCTTGAACCCACAATCTTATGACTCGGAGTTGAGAGCGCGATCAACTGAGCCAGGTGGCACCTTACTCAAATCCCCATTTTCTCTTCTTCTGCAGCTGATGTTAAGGAAACCGCTGAGACCAAAAAATATAGATGTCCCCCAACTGACATTGAACTGATGAAACAAATCCAAGTTTAATCAGGGTTAATCTGGCAGTAAATAATGCACTTCAATGGGATCCTTTCTGGTAAAACCTTATCTATCTCAAGGCCAGTAAATAACAAGTGGGCTCAGCTGGCATATGATGAAATTACTTTAAAAAGACAAAACAAAGCAAATAATTTACAGAAGCCTGGAGGTGATGGAGGAAATGTCTGTGATAAACATGACCTTAAAAGGTAAGATTTAAGATTGAAAGAATGTTAAAAGTGAATGTTTTATATATAAATAATGACACCGAAAGCAAATGCTGGAAACCAATTAGTGGCAAGGTGTCTGTATACTGCAGGAGTGAATTACCCACAGCCTCCAGCCAACTCACAACCGGAGGCAGCCAAATGCTAACCTAGAAACTAAAACCAGAAAAAAAGCAAAATCTATGGTGGAATGTTTGTTTGTGTTGCCTGGAATGCCGTCTCCCTCTGTATTTGCTCTGTCCTGCAAAATCTTAATTCTGAAAAAGCTGAAACTCCGTCAAAGGGACACTCCTTAACCAATTCCAACATTATAAATCCTCAGTGTTCATCTTCAAAAATGGTCCGAGACATCTTTGGAAGTCAAACAAGAATCAAGCAAGAGCAGGGTAAAAGCAAGTCGGATTGTTTACAGTTGCTGCTGTGATGCATCTATTATTTACAAAGGCCAATGCTGGTTAGAAAATCTGTGCTCAGGTCCAGTGTGCTCCATATAAAGTACTGTGCACTTATATCCATCTTCTCATAGAAAAAATGTATTCCCAATTTTTTATAAAACAACATTGCCTGTCCTCAGTGGTTTTGCTACACGCTTGTGCAGAGCTAGAATCCTTGGCATATCAGATGTCCATGTAGTCATCTTCATCCTCGTCTGTGTCACTCTCCAGCGATGATTCTTGACTTGATGTCTCTAGGATTTCCAACGCTGGCTGGCAGAGGGTTTCCTTCTTCACGTTGGCGGCAGATTGTGAAGACAGGATGGCAGTCTGAAAGAAAGCACAAGGTTGTTTCTATCAAAGTTGTTGTGGAGTCCAGTAACTCAGTGGTTAGAACACTTGCCTCGCAAGCAAGAGGACATGAGTTCAATTCCTGGTTAGGGCAAAACGTTAGGCACATTTCCTTACTCCACACGCCTCTGGTTACCTAGCAGTAAGTAGGTTGTTAGTCGATTGGCAGATCACTTTTCCGGGGATAATAATTCCTTCAAAAAAAATAATAATAATATGGTCGCTCAATCCACGACTGTTTGTGGGACACTGCTGTGCGGAATTGGCTCACTTAGAGACGTCTCAAAGACGTAATAAGGTGCTATATCAAAGGCAAGGATTATTATTATTATTACATTTGCTGCAATGTGGGGGGTGGAATGAGAAAAAAAAATTGTATAAAAGACAATCTGTATCACAGAGACCATCTATCTTTCTTTTTTAAAAATTGCTAACATCCATTGTACTCCTGGTTCAGCCTTGATCTTTTATGTCCCACACTCCGACTCCTAACCATCCTCCCCTACACACCTTCGTACCCGTTTCCCCACCCTCTGTCACTGAACTCATCCAATCCCTAAAACCAACCACCTGCTCCCTTGACCCCATCCCCACTCCATTCCTTATCTCCCAGCTCCACTTTCTTGCCCCACATATCACTGACATCATCAACCTGTCCCTCTCCTCTGGCTCTGTCCCCATTCCATTAAAAACTGCCATCATCACGCCCACCCTGAAAAAACCCTCCCTTGATGCGTCGCAGCTATCAAGCTACCGGCCCATCTCCAACCTCCCCTTTCTCTCCAAGGTCTTGGAAAGAGTTGTCGCCTCCCAACTGCGCTCTTTCCTTTCCACCCATTCTCTTTTCGAACCCCTTCAGTCAGGTTTCCGTGCTGCCCATAGCACAGAAACTGCCCTGGTCAAGGTCACCAATGATATCCTGACCATCTGTGACCAGGGCTCCCTCTGTCTCCTCGTCCTCCTCGACCTATCGGCAGCATTCGATACGGTCGACCACGCTATCCTACTCCACCGCTTGTCCTCCCACCTCAACCTTCAAGGCACTGTCCTTGAATGGTTTAGGTCGTACCTTTCTCACCGTCTTCACTTTGTCTCGACGAATGGCTTCTCCTCCACCCCCCGCACTGTCTCATGTGGTGTCCCTCAGGGCTCTGTCCTTGGTCCCCTCCTCTTCACCCTCTATATGCTCCCCCTCGGTGACATCATCCGCAGACATGGAGTTAACTTCCACATGTATGCGGATGACACCCAACTCTACCTTTCCTCCTCTACTCTCAACTCCACGACCACCGATGTCCTGACAGCTGCCTGTCCGACATCGAGTCCTGGACGAGAGACAACTTTCTTCAGCTCAACGTGCGAAAAACCGAGGCCCTCCTGATTGGCTCACGTCAGCGCCTCCGCACCTCAGGCGCTGACACCATCAGCATCCAAGGCTGCACTCTCCACCTCTCAAAGCCAGTCAGGAACCTCGGCGTTTTGTTCGACCCTGAGCTGTCCTTTCTCCCTCACATCCGCACCACAACTGGCACCGCCTTCCATCACCTCCGGAACATCGCCAGACTACGGCACTACCTCACCCCTCACGCTGCTGAAACCCTGGTTCACGCCTTTGTCACCTCAAGGCTGGACTATGGGAACTCTCTCCTCGCCGGCCTTCCCGCCACCTCCCTCCACAAGCTGCAGGTCATTCAGAACTCTGCAGCTCGTGTACTGTCCCGCACCAGGCTTCGGGACCACATCACTCCCACCCTCGCCCTCGCTCGCCTCCACTGGCTCCCCATCCCCCAGAGGATTGATTTCAAGATCCTCATCCTCACCTACAAGGCCATTCACGGCCTCGCTCCCTCCTACCTCTCCGACCTACTATCCCCCTACCTACCTGCCCGTACCCTCCGTTCCTCTGGCTCTGGTCTGCTCCACGTCCCCCGCCCCAACCGCCCTACCATCGGTGGTCGGGCCTTCAGCCTCTCTGCCCCCAGGCTCTGGAACTCCATCCCCCAGTGCCTTCGCTGCCTCCTCCCTTTCCTCCTTCAAGGCCGGTCTCAAAACCTTTCTCTTTGACCGAGCCTTCAGCTCCCCTCTCGACTCTCTTCCCCCTCCTCGCTCCCTCCCTTCCCTCACCTCACCCTGACCATTTCCCCCCTCCTCGCTCCCTCCCTTCCCTCCCCTCACCCTGACCATTTCCCCCCTGCTCGGGTCATGACCCAACTGTGCAGCGCCTTGGGACGTCCTCCTGACGTGAAAGGCGCTTTATAAATGGAATCTTGTTGTTGTTGTTGTTGTATGTAGATACCACTGGAGTTCAGCCCAGATGGGGTTTACAGACAGGATTCACTCACTGACACCGGGGCACAGATTTCAGATTGAATGACGTCCTCCAATACGTTAATTAAAAGCAGTTGAGATGACTCTGGTTTCAGTGTTGTGACAGTGTCGTGCCTGAATAATACAGTGCAATAACCGCTTAAGCCGGACATATCGGGGCCAGGAGTTTTGTCCGGCTTAAGTGGCGTCCAAGGTTAACCAAAGTCGTCTTCCCTCTTCCCGCCCAGCAGAGGAGCGGCAGCACCTCCTCCCTCCCATTGCTGGTCCCTTTGGACAAGAAGGGACCAATTAGCGTCAGCTCCAAGGTGATTGGCTGCCTGGAGCCGCTTGTGAATGGATGCGCTCCACCCACTCCAGCCATTCACAAGAGGCTGCAGATTGTCAATCAACTCTTCCTAACCCCCTCCTTGGTTTCTTCCCAGTTCTTATATAATAATAGTCCTTCCATTTGATGCAGCGCCTTATCATGTTTTCGAGATGTTTCAAAGTGCTTCACAGGATATACTGTAAAGTGTAGTGACTGTATATTTTGTGAGCGAAATGCCCCCTTCACTGATTGACAGTCCGCAGCCGCTTGTGAATGGCTGGAGTCCGCCGTCAATCAGTCGAAATTTGACTCCTCCCATCTCCACCCCACTGGTGGCTGAATGGAACCACTCGAGACACAGAAGTTGCGAGTGAGTCGTCAACACGGCGACGGCCAGCCCGGCATTTTGTCTGGATTAAGTGGATTTTTGTCTGAATTAACCGGATTATTTAAAATAGGTGAAAATACAAATGAATCGGGGCCGGGCGTTTTTGTCTGATTTACCCGACGTCTGGAGTTAAAACGGCTTCCACTGTATTTGGGAGAATCGAGAGTTCATTGTCAGTTCCCTCTTCAGCTCATCTCTTGTGGCGATTTCTCAGTATCATAGTCACTGCCTTTGATGAGGATAAAGCCGTTACTCAGAGGAATGCCAAATCTTCAAACCTGTTTTTTTTTAAAGGGTGTGGAAGCTCATTAAGATACCCAAATGATAGAAAATTCTGTCCAAAGTTTAACTGAAATTAAGTTTGTCAGTTTGGCTCAGTTAGTACCACTGTTTCCTGGGAGTCAAAAGGCTGCGGGTTCAAAGCACCAGGTTGGGATTTGGATTTCACAGTTTAGGTTGGTACCGGCCTTCGGATGAGATATTAAAACTGAGGTCCCGTCTGCCTGTTTGGGTGGGTGTATCCTATGGTACTATTATGTCCCCAATAAATTTTACTATGTCTCCAATAAATTTGATCATTCACTTCATGGCTGTTTGCACTATGCACAAATCGGTTGCTGTGTTTGCCTAACAAAATACACAGTCACTCCATTTTACAATGAATGCTTTGAGATGTTTTACTGACGTAAAAGGGACAGTATCCAATGCAAACATCAAAAATCAGCCGTTAGAAAATAGGAGAAAGGGATCTGGGAAATTCATGAACTCAGTTGGAGACTTGTCAAATATTGGATGAAGATCAGGAATTGCAGCCTGGAGAACCTCTTACATGGGTGTGCAGGCGGCAAATTTAAAATTCATCACCAACCCGGCTTCTTGGAGACACTGAATCACATCACTGTTACCATCATTGCAATTGCTTGAGCACTGCACTGTCCCTCATCTATGATATGCTCACTGGGGCGGAGCAGGAGACAAAAGGGTGTACAGAGGATCGAGGAACCGCAAAGAGTTTTCCTACCTTTAGTTTTTGTTTGGTTTCCTCAGACACACTGCCCTTGGGTGACAGCAGGGTCGGAGTTGGTGGTGTGACGGTTATCTCAGGTGGAAACTTCGCCACAGTCGATGGGATGAAAAGCTTTGGCATATTCGGAGGGATGCGTGTCTTAATCCGACTCCCCTCCCCCTTGCACGACTGGGCAACTAGGGTGTTGGCAGAGAGTTTGTTGGCAGAATTGCAATCTGTAGGGAATGAAGGAAATTTCCAGGTGTAAATGGTATACCTATGAACAGTCAATCTGGTTCGATACTCTTAAGCATGATGAGAGGTTTCCGCAGGTGTCAAAGACACCAAGTTGACCAAAACAAATAAGGAAAGAAAACAGGAATCTGTACTGTTACATACTTTGCTCTTCAGCAGATCTGCTAAACCCGAGAATCAGAATATTGCAGCACAGAAGGAGCCATCTGGCCCATCGTGCCTGTGCTGGTTCTTTGGAAGAGCCACCCAATCAGCCCCACTCCCCCGCTCTTTCCCCATATGCTTGCAAGTTTTTTCTCTTCAAGTTTTTTCTCTTCATCCTTCCTCCCCCACATCCGGTCCCTCACGAGCACCGCTTTCTTCCACCTCCTACGCATCGCTGGTCTCTGCCAATACCTCTCTCCAAAAGCCGCTGAAACCCTGGTCCATGCCTTTGTCACTCTCGGCTGGACTATTCCAATGCCCTCCTCGCCGGTCTCCCCTCCACTACCATCCATAAAATTTAGATCATTCAAAACTCTGCCGCCCGAATTCTCACCCGCACCAAACTCCGCTCCCCGATCTCCCCAGTCCTGGCCAGACTGCACTGACTGCCTATCCCAGAGAGGATCGACTTCAAGATCCTCACACTTGTATTCAAGTCCCTCCACTCCTCTGCACCCCTCGACCTCTCTGACCTCCTCTCTCCTCAAAATAGGGCCCATTGCCTTCGTTCCTCCGGGTCTGGCCTCTTCCTTGTCCCCCGAGTCCTCCGCTCCACCCTCGGTGGCCGTGCCTTCAGCCACTATGCCCCGAGGCTCTGGAATTCCCTTCCTCACTCCCTTTGCCTCGCCTCCTCTCTTCCTTCTTTCAGGTCTCTGCTGAAGACCTTTCTTTTTGACCGCGCCTTTGGTCACCTTCCCCCCCCACTCCAGCTCCTCCCCTCCCCTGGTTCGGTCCCAGGATCTGTTACTGTGAAGCGCTCTGAGACGCCGTCCGGAGTGGAGAGTGCTATATACATCCAAGTTGTTATTGTTATCCAATTCCCTTTTGAAAGTTGGATCTGAATGATAAAGGGTGACCTGGTTATAATGCAGTGGGTGGGGTTCAATAACTCAGATCCCCTCACTGTAAGGAGATGTGCGACACAGTGGGTGGCGGTCAGCACTTCGTCAGGTCACCACTGATGTCATTTTCTGCACATCCATAGGAAGCGGTCAGTCAGTGTTGGACACTAGAAGTGTAAAGTGATTCCTGTCCACAGTAAACAAAAGGCAAAACACTGGTGGAAATCAAATATAAGAACAGAAGTCACTGGGAACACTCAGCAGGTCAGGCAGCGTCTATGGAGAGAGGAAAGTGAGTTAACGTTTCAGGTCGTTATCTCATTTTCCTCTCTCCATAGATGCTGCCTGATCTACTGAGTGTCTTTGGTCCTCGACCTGAAACGGTAACTCACTTTCCTCTCTCCATAGATGCTGCCTGACCTGCTGAGCGTTCCCAGCCACTTCTGTTTTTATTCCTGGCCACAGTACATGTGCTAAACCAGGGCACGTTATAACGGGAATTGTAAATACGAAGTTAGAACTGTAGTCTGTGTAGACAAATAAATCAGCCAGGAAAGAGGACAGTGCCTCCACAGACTACAGTTCTAAAATCACATTTACAATTCCTTCAATCAAGTCCCCCAGGATCAATTCTCTCACATTTTCCAAAATCCCAAATCATGTCATTTTCATCTCTCATACTTTCACTACATTTTGTATCTATCACATCATCCATCTGTTGAATTCTGCACCTCCATTGTTTTTTTTACACCACCAACAGCATTTTGTTTTGTAATAACCTTTGGCAAGTTTCCTTACTCCACACGCCTCTGGTTACCCAGCAGTCAGTAGGAAACCAGTTGTTAGTCGCTTGGCGGATCGCTTTTCCGGGGATCCCTTTTAAAAAAACCTTATGAAGCGCTTTGAGGCGTCTTCCTGACATGAAAAACGTAATGTGAGGACTATTATTATTGTTAAAAGGACAGTGGTACATGTAGATCTAGATGCATTCAGAGTAGAATACACAAACCCTTTGCTCTATAAAAGGGGTAATGGGTTCAGTTCATCAGTGGTTGGGCCTTCAACCTCTTTGTGCCCTCACCTTTTGGAACTCCATCCTACATTTCTTTTGTCTCGTTCCCTCCCTTGCCTCCTTCAAGACCCTCCTCTTGTACTGTGACTTCGGCCACCTTCCCACCCTCCCCGATCTGCCCCCATCTGGGTCCAAATCCCTGACTGTCCAGTGCCTTGGCACTGCCTACCACCACCTCCGCAACATTACCAGACTCCACCACTGCCTCACCCCTCAGGCTGCCGAAACCCTCACCCATGCATTCGTCACATCAAGGCTCGATTATGGAAACTCTCTCCTCATCGGCCTTCCCAACTCTTCCCTTCACAAGCTGCAGATCATCCAAAACTCTGCAGCTCGTGTTCTCTCGTTCACCAGGCTCCATGACCCCATCACTCCCATCCTCACCCGACTCCACTGGCTTCCCATCCCCCAGAGGATCAAATTCAAGATCCTCGTCCTCATCTTTAAGGCCATCCACGGCTACTATCCACCACTATCCATCCACGCCCTACTATCGGTGGTCGGGCCTTCAGCCTCTCAGCCCCGAGGCTCTGGAACTCCATCCCCCAGTGCCTTCGCCGCTTCCTCCCTTTCCTCCTTCAAGGCCGGTCTCAAAACCTTTCTCTTTGACCGTGCCTTCAGCTCCCCTCTCGACTCTCTTCCTCCTCCTCGCTCCCTCCCTTCCCTCCCCTCACCCTGACCATTTCCCCTCCTCTCTCCCTCCCTTCCCTCCCCTCACCCTGACCATTTCCCCCTGCTCGGGTCATGACCCAACTGTGCAGCGCCTTGGGACGTCCTCCTGACGTGAAAGGCGCTCTATAAATGGAATCTTGTTGTTGTTGTTTGCCCCTCCTACGTCTCTGACCTGCTGACTCCCTACCAACCTGCCCGCTCCCTCTGCTCATCAGGCTCCGGCCTGCTCCATGTCTCCTGCCCGACCCGCCCTACCATCAGTGGCCAGGGTTTCAGACTCTCTGCCCCCACAATCTGGAACTCCATCCTACAGTCCCTTCGCCTCGCTTCCTCCCTTGCCTCCTTCAAGGCCGGTCTCAAGACCCTCCTCTTCGATCATGCCTTCAGTCGCCCTCCCACCTCTCTGCCTTCCCTCACCCCTACACCACCCCTCCCCCATGCTTGGGTCCTGACCCCTGACTGTCTAGTGCCTTGGGACGTCCTCCCGAGGTGAAAGGCGCTATACAAATACAAATTTGTACTTATGGTATTGAACGGCACGAGTGGAATTCAGCAGCTCTAAAACAGGTGATGTTGCTGTGGTGCTGGTCGTCTCATTCTTTCACAATCTTTATTTCCTAACTCAGGTTTGATTTAGAAATCTGGATGACTCGCTGTGTACTCACTGTGGCTGGCGGACGGGGGAGGATGGGAGCCCTCGTCTGGTTGAGGGTAAGCACCATCTTCCTGCCACTGAACGGACTCCTGGGATGAAGTGACTGTTGCCATTCTCATCTGATGGCAAAGGTGATTTTCCTGCTGCCGGTAGCTAAGGCCTTCGGGAGGCTCCTCTGATTCCTCGTCTAAAAACACAATGGAGAGAACAGATAACGTTGTGTGATTTACAATTCTCACCAGGCGCACACACACGTGCAGCACTGAGTGTGGCCGTTACCTTATCCGCAGAGTGAAGCTGGACTCCAGCGGCCATCATCATCATCATCATCTCTCAGCATTATAAATCAAGTTGTCAAATTAGACAAACAGAGGGTGTAAAACCACAATAAAATGATAACGTTTTAATGTTTTCAACAAACATGAGAAATATAATAAAACATCCTGAATACAAACCGACTGCAAATTCGTCCACACTGAGAATAAAGTACTGAGCAACCTCAGGACAGGATTCAGGTTCTGGGTAAGGATAAGTGGTTACTAATCCGAGGGGATGTATTATTCTCAGTGCGGAAGAATTCCTCCCGACATGAAAGGCGCTCTATAAATGGAATCTTGTTGTTGTTGTTGTTGTATTCAGGTTCTGGAGGTTTTATTGTATTTATCATGTTTATTTAAAACATTAAAACGTTACCAAGATTTGGTCTAAATAATAATAGTCCTTGCATTTGATATCACGTCTTCAAGGCGTCTCAAAATGCTTCATAAAATATACTGAAAAGTGTAGTGACTGTCGCCCCCTCCCTTGCCTCCTTCAAGACCTGTTTCAAGACCCTCCTCTTCAACCATGCCTTCGCTACTACCCCTACTCTCCCTGCTCTCCAACCCTCCTGATCCCAACCCCCAGCTCGGGTGTGGATCCCTGACTGTCCAGCTCCTTGGGACGTCCTCCTGACGTGAAAGGTGCTGTGTAGATGTCATTTGTTGTTTTTATTGTTGTATATTTTGTGGGCGAAAACTAGCAGGCACTTGCACACAGCAGTTTCCCACAAACTATCGAGGATTCAGTGATCAAACTTAATTATTTTTTCATATTATTATTTCTTTTGAGGGGATTATCCGCCAATCGACTAACAACCAAGTTCCTACTTACTGCTAGGTAAACAAATGAAACCATCTTATTATTTGTATCGATGAATACTGGAAATATTACCAATCTGAGTAGGATTTGTAGAGCAGTGTAAATTAGAAGTGGCAGTGAGGTACCTTGTGTGAGATAGGACATGCCCGGGACTGTCTCCGTTAAGCTAGTTGTTCGCAGTTCAGTGTCCCTTTGCGATGGTGGTGTAACCTCTGGCCCTCGAGTGTCAGCTCGGGGATCGCCTGCAGTCGTGGGGCCCAATGTTGATTTGGATTGTAAATCACTAGGTTTGGTGCTTTCACACGAGGTGCTGCTTGGTGGGGTTGACGTGAGAGCTGCTGGGGCTACTGTGACGGGCGTTGAAGGGAAGAAAGTTTCCTTCGAGTCCTTGGAGTACTTTGGTGTTGTAGGTGCGTCTCCTGACTGCAAAAGACAGATTAAAAAGAGATTTGTTTTGAAATCATTTTTAATAAGTATCCATTGCAGGGTTCAAAATCAGGCACTTTATGACATGAGTTCACCTTCACCGACCACATACATTTTTCGTAGAAACGTTTAATGTGTGTCAGCTCCTCAAATTAACTTCTCTGCCAAGCAGGCTTTAAACAATCTTTACAAACCATCAACTTCCAGAATTAGTGTAGAGCCTAAATCTGACCTCAGCCAAAGGGCCAAGAAACTGTCAGCTGGCTCAGTTGGTAGCATTCTCACCTCCGAGTCAGAAGTTTGTGGGTTCAAGCCCTACTATTAAACTCACAGTCTAGGTTGGAGCGCTACATTATAAAACAGTATAAATTTACGTTTAAACAGTGCCTTTCACGTCAGGCGGACGTCCCAAAGTGCTTAGCAGAATTAGCTGGACACTGAGCTGAGAGTGGGCAATGAGCCGGGGTGGGGGCTGAGCTCTCGGTGAGAGCCGAGGAGAGTGAGCGTCGAGGATGGTGGAGAGTGGAAAGATGACCTAAGGTATGGTCAAAGAGGTACGTTTTGAGTCGGACCTAGAATGAGGGGAAGGAAGGAGTGAGTCAGAGGGACGTGGAATAATGTTCCAGAGAGTGGGGGCAGAAAGACTTTTGATGACATATTAAACCAAGGTCCTGCCTGCCTGCTCAGGTGGACGTTAAAGATCCTGTGGCTTGAAAAGAGAAGGGAGTTTCTCACAGTCCTGGCCAACAATCTCTGAGATAACAAGTGGGTCATTCACTTCTTGACTGTGGGACATTGCTGTGCACAAATTGGCTATCAGGTTTGCCGACAAAAAAATTAGCTTTACACTAAGTCCTGTGAAATGCCAGCGTCACCCTAACTTTCACTTTTAACACATTTGTCCACATAGCGGACTTGACAGTATCATGGTAAATAAATTAGATTGTTAGCTTATTAGCATAAATTAGCACGAATGTCCTGAACTACACAATTGTGTCCTTTGTTAGAAGATCAAAGAGACTCGGTCTCACAACACACAGAATACCTTCATCTTCAAACAGCAGCAGAAAAAACTACTTGAATGAAACCCGTCTCAGGCAGCCATGTTACAGGTGACCTTTCTGGCATATAACAACAACAACTTGCATTTACACAGCGCCCCTCACGAAGGGTAGCGTCCCAGAGCGCTTGACAGTGAGCTGGGTGGGGGGGGGGTGATCGTAGGCACAGTCGAATAGGAAGGTCTGCAGGCGCGATCTGAAAATGGGGAAGGAAAGGGCAATGCAGAGGGATAGAGGAAGAGTGTTCCAGAGTTTCGGGGAGTACTGAGTGGCTGAAAGCACAGCCACCAATGAGGGAGTGGAGGTCACGAGGGACATGCAGAAGGCCGGAGCCAGTCGAGCGGAGGAGGTGCGTTGTGGGGTAAGCAGGTCGGAGAGGTAAGGAGGTGCCAGGGTATGAAGGGATTTGAAAACGAGTATGAGGATCTTGAAATCAACCGTTCCATGAAGGGGAGCATATACTGTTTCATACACAGAATGAAAACTAACACATATCTGTTCAATCTCCACAAGTAACTATTTTTTTGACAATTTAAGAGAATAAATGAATACATATTCCTGAACAGGTTAATAATTTGATTTATTCTTCGAGAGAGAGAGAGAAAAAAAGACGCATCTAAGAAATATAAGATAACATGAGCTACTTCCAACCACACAATAATCTCTACACAACGTTCCCCCCACTCCCAACATAAAGAGTTTATTACCAGGTTAGAAATACAAAGCATTCAGCAAAAACACTGCAATGGGTCTGGTTGTATGAATCCACTGCATCATCATGTTACCTGGGTCAACCCTACACACAATAAGCAATGCGACAGAAGGTCAGTAATTGTAGCCCTACTGAATAACAAGCCCACTTACACATTTCCAGATCGTCCCTTCAGCTTGTCTAGCTGAAAAGCTAGCAGCGTCTTATCGAATCAGCCGCATTCTCACACTTAGCCCCAGCCTTGGCACGCTCTCCCCATTGCTTTGTCCTTTCATCAAACGAGTCGGGATCCCAGGGCAACATGCAAACCTGTTATTTCCACAGAACATGTCCAGGAAAGGATGATGGGGCACTATGGCAACCCTCAAATGAAACGGCTAACAAAATGGATGTACACGTGGTTCAGCTCATTCACTCTATTCTGAGAATCATTCAAACCCCCTCAATAATTGACGCAACCACACTCAACATCATGCAAGTAGCTGAATGCCTGATGTTATTAATTCTTTGCAAAAGGCATTGTATGAAAGGAGCAGATCTAGTGTCTGTGAATAACCTACCACACATTCATACTCATAGAATTATTTTAAAAAACACTTCTGTCACAGGATGCTTTTTTCAGCGATATCAGTTCTGTTCCAGATTATTCCCCTTATTCCTTGCGCATGATTTTAAAATGTCTGATTTGAATAAAGGAGAAACATACAGTCATACAATCATACAGCACAGAAAGAGGCCATTCGGCCCATCGTGCCTGTGCCAGCTTTTTGAAAGAGCTACCAACTAGCCCCATTCCCCCACTCTTACCCCATAGTCCTGCAAATTTTTCCTTTTAAGTACCTATCCAATTACCTTTTGAAAGCTATCATCACATCTGCTTCCACCACCCTTTCAGGCAGCACATTCCAGACCTTAACAACTCTGTGTAAAAATATTTCTCCTCGTCTCCCCTCTGGTTCTTTTGCCAATCATCTTAAATCTGTGTCTTCTGGTTACTGACCCACCAGTCAGTGGAAACAGTTTCTCCTTATCTATTCTATTAATACCCCTCAGAATTTTGAACACCTCTATTTAATCTCTCCTTAACCTTCTCTGCTCTAGGGAGAATAATCCCAGTCTCTCCACATAATTTTAGTCTCTTATCACTGGTATAATTCTTGCACCTTTGCAGCCTCTCCACGGCCCTGACATAAAGTGTGATGCCCAGAATTGGACACAATACTCCAGCTGCGGCCTAACCAGCGATTTGTGAAGAATAAACATAACATCCTTACTATGCCCCTATTTATAAAGCCAAGGATCCCTATGCTTTTTTAACAGATTTGTCAACTTGTCAAACTTGAAAGATTTGCTTATGTGAATCTCCACCCCGTAAGAATTGTACCATTTATCTTATATTGCCCAACTTCATACCGCCTTCCAAAATGCATCACTTCATGGTTCTCTGCATTAAATTCCATCTGCCATGTGTCTGCCCATTTCACCAGCCCGTCTGTGTCCTCCTGTAATCTGCTAGTATTCTCCTCACTATTTACTACGTTTCCAAGTTATGTGTCATCTGTGAACTTCAAAATGTTGCTCTCTATACCCAAGTCCAGGTATTTAATATATATTAAAAAGAGCAGTGGTCCTAATACCGACCCCTGGGGGACACCACTGAATAATAATAATAATAATAATAATCCTTGCATTTGATATAGCGCTTTTCACGTCTTCTCGACGTCTCAAAGCGCTTCACAGGATATACTGTAAAGTGAATTGACTGTATATTTGTGGGCGAACGCGGCAGCCAATTGCGCACAGCACTGTCCCACAGACAGTCGTGGATACGTCCCTCCAGTCTGAAAAACAACCATTCACTAGCACAGTCCTTTTGCACAGAGTAAAATATTGTTCAACTTTATTTTTTCTCTCTCATTTGACCCTCTCCCACTCACTCGACGTCTCATCTAATGGCAGGTTTTAGTTCAGCCTGCTACCAAACCACATGTATAACAACTACTGGATAAAGGCTGCACTTTAACAGATACGCCAGCTTCTAGTGTGAACACTTGTGATGCGTTTTTTGCAGTAAATAATAATAATAATCTTTGCATTTGATATAGCGTTTTTCACGTCTTCTAGACGTCTCAAAGCGCTTCACAGAGTAGGAGTAAGGAAACTTGCCCAAGGTTTCGCCCTGCTGGGAATCAAACCCAGGTGTCTCGCTTGCGAGGCGAGTGCTATAACCACTGAGCTACAGGACTCCACGTGTTCAGTGCAACAGACGATCGATCACTAATAGCCATGTGGCACTTTTTTTTAAATTAAAAAAAGTTGCTTTCTGCCTTACCCTTTTCTTATGTTGCTCCTTAGATCATACACAGTCCCTGGCGAAGGACTGTCTCAGCCTAGTCTGAAACCTGGCACTAGGAGATGCAGGAGAGCAGCAAGGAGTGTTGCTGCCTGATGTTCCTTCCTTTCGAGTGGCAGTCGGTGTGGGTTTGCTGCCACGCACCAGCACTGATGCTTAGGTGAGACCTGGAGATCGCTGTGTGAAAGGTCAAGCTGTGAAGCTTTGCCTTCAGGCTGCAATTCACCAGTCTGTTACTCCAATCACAAACCTGCCAAAACTCTGCCGCAAGTCAACTTACTGCATAAAAACGCTCCTTTAACACTATCAACAGCTGCTAGTGGGTTAAAAACACTAATTATTATATTATGATAAGCACATGGCTACAAATCAGCATCATGTTTGCAGATTTGAGCTTCTCAAAAGGTAGGACCTTTGCTACTCCACTCGTTCCATGGCTGTTTGTGGGACATTACAATGCACAAAATGGCGGCTGCGTTACGCTCATAAAATACAGGCAATCCACTTTACAGTATATCCTGAGAAGCGCTTTGAGACGTCTCAAATGACATAAGGCGCCAAGATTATTATTATTAGCTATCCCACTGCTTCTCTACCCACATACATGGTAACAGCCATGTGGAGTCCTGTAGCTCAGTGGTTAGAGCACTCGCTTTGCAAGAGGCAGAGGGTGAAACCTTGGGCAAGTTTCCTTACTCCACACAGAGCCTAATAATAATCCTCCAAAACAAAAACAATAATAAATTGGCATTTTCAATCCACGACTGTTTGTGGGACATTGCTGTGCGCCATTGGCTGCCGCGTTCGCCCACAAATATACAGTCAATTCACTTTACAGTGTGTTCTGTGAAGCGCTTTGGGACGTCCTCCC